ACCTACTTTTGACTGGATATATTCAAAATCATTGTCACAGAACGTGTGCACTGACAAAAACAAAAAACTTAATTTAATATTTCAATCCAATGAAAATGCCAAAATAAAATTTAATTAGAGAAGTTGGAAAATTATGGTCAAAAAAAGCTTTTTGCTACAATTGCTTGAGAGGAGAGTTAGCAATATTTTAATATTTGGGCCGACAAACCATGTTTTGAGCGGTTCGGGTCAAAAATACAAGTGAAATCCAATGAACCAGGCCGACCCATAATTTTTTGGGCCTTCTTTGTGAGCTGAGGAATTAAGACCGTAAATATTGGATTAGGAAATTACACCAAACCTATTTTTAAAGACCACAGTTCAAAAATAGATGTAAAGTTTATTTAATCAAAAATCAAGTAATATTCTATTCATAATAATATTATAAAATTAAATTAATTTATATACCCCATCCTAACCCCTTCCACCCTCACCAAATTTCTCAAACCCTAATCACTTCCCCACTCCATTCTCTCTCTATATCACTTTCTACTCTCTACAATCTCTCTATCACACAATACTACTAGAGCACCATCGACTAATAGGCTCACGACCATCGGCGCAGCGTCATAATAGTTGATAAATGGCCCTGTGAACGTTGCAACACCGCTGTGCGATGAAGCTCTGCGTGGACTACGCTCACAGCGTCGCAGCATGTGGAGCCTCGACGCGCAGCAACATTGTGCAGAGAAGCAACTTGCTGCTTTGGATTAGATCAGGGATAGGGTACTGCTCTAGGCTAGCGTGCGGAGAAACGACATGAAGCTCTGTGCGCGCTCTAGGCTGCAACGATCACCACCATGCAACCATTGCAATGGTAGGGTGTAGCTCTAATTTTTAAGTGATTTTTTCAGTGGTGTTTATAGTTGGTAATGGTGGCGAGGGCGATGATGGTGAATCGATGGTGGAGGTGGTTGTTCGTGACTAGAGATCTAATAGTGGTGGTTGTGGGGAATTTTGTTGGCAATGAATTGGATCTAGTGTTGGTGACGATCGTGGCGAGGTGAGGACGGTTGCAAGTAGGTATAGTGGAAGTGGCGGTGGTATGTGATCCACTATTTGGTGTATCTAACTAATTATTTGGTTATTTGTAGTGGTGACAATCGAGTCGAGTGGCTCGTCGGCTCGACCCCTCTGCTCATGGGAACGGCTAGTAAAAAAAGTGAACGGCTCGTAAAAAAAGGGAACAAAAAAGTTAAAAAAAAAAAAAAAAAAAAGCTCGTGGGCTTAGCTCGGCTCACGATCTTGGCCCTTGAGCACAAGCTGAGCTCGTGGGTAGATGGATCGGGCTCGGCTCGATTCGGTCCATTGCCACCCCTAGTTATTTGTAACCAACTATTCAATTGTAATCTAAAAATTTGATAATATGTTACTGAAAATTAATTTGTGACCAATTCATTTGAAAATCTGTAACCAACAAATAATTGTAACTGATAATGCTTTTGATTTGTGATCGATAAAATAATCTGTGATCGATAAAATTAATAATATGTGACGTTATGACCTTTAAGTATGCATCCGTGACTATAAATTGTATAATTGTGACCTTAATATATTTAATTAATAAAATATTTTTAATTAAGTAATTAATACCTAATTTTTGAATTTTGAAACTTAGAATTTTTCCCATTTTGGATTAGACATGGGTTAGATAAGCCCAATTCGACCAATACAGCCTAATTGGCATCCTCGCGGGCTTCGGTTTACTTTTGGTTTCCTTTTACAGAGTGGAGAGGACCTACTCGTTGGCAATACAGGGTTTAAGGGACGGCAAAAAAAAAAAAAAAAAGGGAAAATTTCATAATTAAGAATTTAAATATCACACATTTCAAAATTAAGAAAATAAGTTTCAAACTTCAAAAATCAGATTTTTATTAAAACTTATTTATGATTTTTTTAGTTAATTAATTATTTTATTAATTAAATATATTTATGTCACATATCTACAAAATTTGGCCACAAATTAACAATTTAATTAGTTACTTATTAATTTTTGGTCACAAATCAAAAATTTTACGTCACAAATTTTTTTACCGTCAAAATTCAAAAATTTTGTAAGTCACAGTTTGTTCATTGGTCACAAATCAAAAGATTCATTAGTTACGGTTTAATTTTTAGTCACAACTTATCACATTATTGGTCACAAGTTATTTTCGATCACAAATCAAAAATTTTAATGTCACAATTTTGTACGTCGGTCACTGATAAAAGATTTACACGTCACAATTTTTTTATAGGTCACAAATCACAAATATTATGGGTCACAACTTATTAAACATTTACAAATTATTAATTTTTAGCTCACATATTATTTTTTTGTCACAATTTATCTTTCTTATTGGTCACATTGGTCACAGATTAACCAATTTAATGATCACAATTAACCAATGAATATATGACCAACACCAAACAATCACTACCTCCGTCGCCGAAACCACCACCGCACAGCAACACGACTGTCAAACAAAATCAACATACATCACTCCTACACACCCCACACTATCACCACACACCGGCACCTCCACGCCACTGCCACCGCCACCGTCCCCGCTACCCCTACCCCACACACATTTTCACACCACCGCCACACAATGCCACACCACACACACACCACCACCAACCAAATAACTTATCACCACTAACTCCAATAGCACAATCACCGTCGCCGCCGTCTCAAACAAATCCACACTTCATAGGAAAATACCACCGCAAACAAGATCTACCACAACCTCAGCAGACCCATCTCCACCACCATCTCACTCACCATCACCGCTGCTGCACACCACTGAGCGCAACCACCCGTCACCATCGCCATCGCCATCGCTATGACTACAGTCGCATGAATCAACAATCACCACAACCACTTCCTCAAGTCCACCATCTCCTTTATCTCTATCACAAATACAAATGAAGATCGCGCTGAATCACAGCAAGCGCTTCACTCTGGTGGGTTGCTTTTCGAATTGCAGCAAGCGCTTCACGCCGAATCACAGCAAGCACTTAACTCCATCACTGTGAGTGGAAGCACCGGTGAATGAAGGGGTGATCGCACTGCTTCAGTTCGGCGGTTGCTTTCCGGAAGAGAGAGAGACAACAATATACAGAGAGAGAGAGAGAGAGAGAGAGAGAGAGAGATGAGGATCCGGCAGATGTGAGAATAGAGAGGAAAGTGGGAGAAATAAATTAGGGATTGAAATTGTGTTTGGGTAAATTGATTAATTAATTTTTTAATATATTCATTAATATAAAAAATCTGATTTTTGAAAAACTAAACTTCACATATGATTTAAGAAATGGAATCTGTAAATGTATTAGATTATGTAATTTTCACCAAAAAAAATTAGGTGGACCCATGGCTCCAATCGGAACAGCTTGGGGAATTCTTGCCCCTTTGGGTTGGCGAGGCAGGAGAGGGTATCCATCGCCCCATCCCATTTAGAATTATTTAAACAAAATTAAATTTCAAAAGGAAAAAACTAAAAGTTATATATTAATTATTTTAAACGGGATAGTGAATTGGGAAAATGAATGCCTCGCCACATATCCAAAGCTGCCCTGCCCCGTTTTAAGTGGGGGCACATAATAGTCGTCTCGTCACGAACCCGTGCCCATTGACATTCCTAATAACTAGGTTGTAGTTCGGTGTGAAGTTGGGCCAACAAAAATTCTTTTCCGTTTTATCTCATCAAATTGGCTCCAAATTTATTTGTTTACCTTATAAACTTGGTCCAAAAAAATATCTAATGCACCATAAAAGATCATGTCTTGTCTAACCTAGATTTTAGTCCACCCTAACGTCGAGTCCTAGGTGAATAAACCCCGCAATTGATGATCATGAGAAAAATACAATTGATCTTCAATTGTGAAAGGTGAGCTCCACTTGCACCAAGTCTATTGCTATTATGAATAGACTAGGGTAAATATACTTGTACAGTTCAGCTCGTACTATTGATCTTCAATTGATCTCTTATTGTTAAGTTTTAAGGTAAAGATACTTGTACAGTTCAGCTCGTACTATAAAAATACAACCCCTCACATGTGTGGGGCCCTCTCACTCGACGTGGGCCCCCCTTATGTCTTAAAACATTTAAATCCTGATTTTCAATTTTCATCCTATGAGAAATCGTCTAAGCAGAAATTTTATCAGTCTATTTTCACGCTACAAACAGTAGAATACCTAACAATATTAGAGGGAAAAAAAATACATTGGCTTGTCTAGTGGCGTTCTTTCGCGCTAATTTTAGCTATTGATAGGTTCATCTCTACTATAATTGAATTGATTTAGAGAAAATGAATGAAAAGTCTGGTTGATTTCTCACAAAATAGGAGTGCCAAATTGAAGGCAATCAAATCAATTTCATATTAAATTCTATTGGAAAGATAACTAGTTCCAGTAACTTGAGAAATTTGCACAACAGTAAAATGTAGAAACTAAAATTTATTGACTGATCGAAACTCTTGACAGTAAGATGTTTTAAAATGAAATTGTTCGTTGTTAATTGTTACGACCTCCGTGAACTATCACTCTCATGATACAAAATCGAGTATGGAAAATTACAGAATTTGAAAATGCTGATTTCATTTTTTAATATAATTTTTCCAAAACCAAATGTGTGTTTACATAAGGAGAACGAATATAACTGTCTTCATCATAATCCAGAAATATTTGTCACATTTAATGGCTTGTGGGTAATGTGTTGTTGAAAAATGGTCGTATTATACTAATTAGTTTTATCCATTAAATAATTTTGAAAATAAATAAAATATTATTTTAATGTGACCCGAACCCCTCGACATCCCACACAAATTCCACACTTTCCACCAATTGAGCACTTCATCTAAATTAATTATTTTTTTCACGAATTATATTTATTGAGTAAATATCTAACAAATTCATGTTGTTTAATTTTTCTTCCTTGAATGTCAGCATATAAGCATAGACTGGATCAATTTGTTTTGAATCCCAATGTCATAACCAGAAAAGAGTACAACTTCTGTAAAACAAACAATAATGAATAGTGATTCAATTAGTAAGATGTCCACATAAACAAGAAAAGTGTAGTCGAGATCTATCGCGATTCCCATGCTGAAATAAATCTGCATTGAAGTTTCTTGCAGAATCCGAATCGAGCCAAGAACTTGACTGAGGAGGAGCGACATGGTCTCCAATGAATAATGAATTTGTTTCCAAACCAGACAGATTAACATGAGTGAAGTCGTCGGGCCCATAAGGTCCCGGGCTCTGATTTCTTCTGTCATTGCTGGCAGCTCTCCTTTCCGCTTCAAGAAAGTGACCGAGAGACGGGGCGTTGTTCTTGTTCGTGCTCACAGCATCAGTGGTATTCGAGCATAGAGAGAAACAACAAATTTTGGACTTGTAACTTTTTTTATTCCTTGTGGGTTCTGGGAGTTGTCCCCTCGTTGATCTACGTGAGAGCTCGAGAATGCTGGAAAGACCGATGAGGCTCCCGAGAGTGATACTCCTATCATGGAAGAAAGAACCAGTGGACTGGAAAAGGGGAAGAAGAACGTTAACATAACAAAGGACACAGGCATTACCAAACTAGCCAACTAGATTACAACCTTATTCTTCAAAATTAATACATCAGATGCATTGAAAATCAAAGTAAAAGTCCTGGAGAAATCCAACAAAAATATACACATGGAACTTAAACTGACCTCAGTATCAAGATCAGAAGAAGAAAAAGCGGAGGAGGTTGGTGAACCAGTAAGCAAAGTGTTGAATGATAAAGAGCCATTAATATCGCCATTTCTGAGCACCCCAACTCTCACATTCAGAGGTTCCAGTCCCAATGGCCACCCCTCTTCCTGCAAATCAAGAAAAACTATTCAATAATCTTACCCACAGAGTGTTGAGTGTGGGATGGGATGGGATGGGATAGGTAATTAAACAACTAAAACAAGTACCCGCTGAGCCATAGCCTTATCCCCGGAAGAATTTTATAGGTATTAGTGAGGAAATCCCAGATGTGATTTCACTGTAAGGGAAAGAATTGTCATTTCCTTTCCACCATTGTGTTCTCTTTCATAAATAGGGCAAATATTGACAGCATATTAACTGTCCTATGACTCCGGGTTTCGGACATCATAAGTGCCAAAAATAAGTGCTTTGACTTTGTAGCCTCGAGTGAAAACGAGAGTCGATGGGACCTGGGGTTAGTAATGAGTCGATTCAAGTCGAGTTCAACTTTTCGGCCAACGAACTTTTTGATTTAAAGAAAATGTGGGAATGAAAAGTGAGAAAATTTAACATTGTTTAATAAGAAAATGTGGGAATGAAAATTGAGAAAATTTAACATTATTTAATAAGAAAGATGCTATGCTTGGCCTAAATCTAACTTGGCTCAATCCATGGACCATAAAGGCTTGCGGTGGAATGAGTCGAGTCATCAATAAGTAAAGTTGTTACATCAATACGATATTATATACTATCTAAAAAAATGTGAAACTGTTTCTTTGGACTTTAATGAAAATCAAACATGCTCTTAAGCATTTTATCTTCATTAACAAAAAGTAGTGCAAAATTGTCGACGTAATTTAACAATTGTGGATAGATGATCTTTCTATAAAGTGTTAAAAATAGTAGAAGGTGCGACCATGGATTTTCACCTATAGAGAATTTTGGATCCACACTTTAATATATACAACGTGCCACGGCATTTTTGGTGTAGTCATGCTGCCCAAAAAGAGCAAGCAAACACGAAATTTTCTAGTATTTGTCTCACAAAATATTACTTCGATAATTCAAAAAGCGAAAGATGATGTGAGATATAATAATGACAAATTAAGAATACAGTAAAAAAATTGTAATAAAAATCATGATGAGGAACCCTAGTCATTTGACCAAAAAGGGCCAGGATAAAGATTCTCCAATGCTACGAAGGGAAAACCTTCTCATCCAGGGCCAGCCAATAGGCTCTCTGGAAATCCAGGGCCATTGATTTCGAACAGCCTAAAAATGTTTAAATAAGAGGGAAAAACTGTTTGGATAGGGCCACGTAGCCCTATCGGTCCAGGGGATGACTTGACGCCCCGGTCCAGCACGGTTCTAAATAAGAAGATTTTTGTATTATTATTATTATTATTTTTTATTATTTTTTATTTTTTTCCTTCCTAAACAAGAAGATGCCATAATTGAGATTAGTCAAAACAAACATAGAGAATAGTCAAAAGTGCATAGCCTGCGGGGTCCATCAGACCAGCGTTTGAGGTGATACAAATCATTGGCATATGCAAATGTCACCCATGAGACATGACACTGCCATTCTGTAAAACAAACTTTTTAGAATAAATTCCCTTGTAAGACGTATTTGCACAACTTGATTGACAGTAAATATGTCGAAAAAATCTTGATCATTAATTTTAAAAATAAATTTTCAAATAGATAGATGTGATGTTTGTCAACTCATTTATTATAAATCAAGTCGTAAAATACATTGTACAAGTAGCATAATTGAACTTTTTAAAGGAGACGGAAATTTGGAGATTGGGTCGAAGAGTAAACTTTTAAGATGGTGGGACCAATATTATGAAGCATATAGAGAAAAGAGGAAACAAATTTCTCATTTAGCACGATAGAATTTAAAATTTAGATTTTTATCAAAGTCAACAATTAATTTTAATTACATATTACATGGAAATCACAACTTTTAAACCAAACATTTTCATGAATTTTTATTAGAATTTACTTAAAATATAATTTTAATCTCACCAAACAAGGACTTAGTGCTTTTTTATTTCATAATTATTGACTTTTTTTAAATTTCAAAAATACAAAAATATAGGAAACAATGGCCACCGACAGAGAGGGAAAAAAAAGAAGAGAGAGAGAGAAACAGATCTAGTAGTGACAATGTCGTTGGTGAGATGGGATGACCATAATATGTATGAGATTGGTATTGGTTGCATGAGTTTGGTAATGGTGAAGATAGTGGTGGTGAAAGAAGGTGGTGGTTCATAGTTTAACGTTGATGATAGTGGTGGAAATAGGCGATAACAATGGGGGATCAAAAATGTAGATTGCTTCCGCTATTAGCTTACCATATTTTATATTTGGTATCATATTCTGGAAGATTATTCATAGTCGGACGGTTTTCACATTTTGTTGAAGACTCGTTTTTCACATGCTCATCATACCCCCAAGTAATTATCATCAAATCCCTCAAAAAAATTAGTCAAAATCGAAAATTTTAATCCGAGGGGAACCCATGGGTGGATTTGAAAGTTTAAAGGGCATTTTGAATTTCGATTTTGATTCCTCTTTTGGCTTCAATTTTCAGGTGGGATGGGAGTGCCGGTGGCGATAGAAATGGAATGTTGGTGGTGGGGTGACAGTTGAAAGGATAAAGATGTATGTACACACAAGAGGGTTACCAAATGGTTTACACCCCCTCACAAATATGCGGGTCCCACCTGTTATTAAATAATTCGAGCTGTGGTCCCCACTTCATGTTGTGAGTAGTGTGTAAAAGATTGTGTACATGTAGCATGATCCCAGTTGAAATAGGTTGCTGGTGGCAATTGGAGCTGATTGAGGTGGTTGTTAGAATTTGGGTTCGGAAGATGACTATTTCATTTTCTTTTTTCACGTTCTTTGTTATTGTATTGGCACATTTTCTAATTTTGGTTTTTGTATTTGTTAATGTGAAATAAGGGCAGAATAGTCATTTTAACACAAACTTTGACAATTTTCATACTTGTTAGGGTAATTATATTGACACCACAATTTTTATCTCTTGCACCACATTGTAAATGTACTTAAGGTTATTAATCATTCATCATTATAGCACCTATGTGCCCTAACATTTTTCATGTCATTCTTATTCTCAAAATTTTCATTAGTTAATATATTTTGTATTTTATATAACATACTATGTCCAACAGTCGGTTAAAATGACATAAAACAACTAATTTTTTCATTATATTTTTAGAAAACAAATAAATAAAAAGTGTGAAAGCATATTTTCGCCTCATTTCAAGGCATTAAAGCAAAATATTTTGATATAAATTATCATCAAGGACAAGTAGTACTAATCAACGAAATGTCAAAAATAAGAATTTGACGAAAAAGGTTAAGAAAATAATTATTAAAGTGAGCAAAAATCAAGAAGTTTAACTGTAATTAAATTATGGTGTATTAAATTAAAATTGTAGTAGCAATATAACCACCCTTTTCGTTGATTACTCTACATTTTAATTAGAATGAATATCCCTAAATTTTTCTTATTTTTAAGCTTGTGTTCTCAAATATTTTTTAATGTTTTTCACATCTTTTCTATAAAGACGATTTTCGCCTAAAATATTTGTTATGAAGGCCAAAAAGACATATTTATCTCTTGTATTTTTAATAACTGAAATAAATAATTAATACAAAAGTTGAATAAAATAAATGTCCATCTTTTAATGCAAGTTAGTAGAATATTTGGATGAAAAATCACGATTAGAATTAAAATTTGTTAATTAATTGAAGGTTAAGAATGCCAATGCAACAAGAAAAAAGTTGAGGACATAAAAGCAAAAGTGAGCAAATATCGAAAACATTTCTTGTAATTAAATGTGTTGTACATATAAAAAATTGTTGTGTGAATATATATATATATATATATTTATCACGTGCTTTCGGAAGAAATAGAAGAATTTCTTGGAAATCCTACAAAATCTGTTCGTTCTTTTTTCTCTGATAGAGCACTAATTTCCGGACACCCCAGCGATCCGCCACGAATGATGAGACATGTCTATGAGATTCCACATAATTGAAAGAAATGAAATGTCCGAATTTGAGATTTATAGGATCAATAAACTAAGGTTTTAAGCTCGTGGATATTGAGGTTCCACAAGCGGTACTTCCTAATACTGTATTTGAAGCAGTTGTTCGAATTCCTTATGATAAGCAACTGAAACAAGTTCGATGCCTTACCACTTGGCTATACTCCATAGACCTGTTTTGGACGGTAGGAACGGGGTGAATGTGATCCTTTATATTTGTTTTAAATCATTGGGTTTAGACATTACTTCGGTACTTCTTAATCCTTTCCCCCTGGGTTAGTTATTCTGTTTATGGAATTCAGAGGGATACCTTCAGTGCACGAAATAAATAAATAAATATATTATTATTATTATTATTATTATTATTATTATTATTATTATGACCATGAGTGTTTGGACCAACTTATGCGTATCTCAACTAATTCTACTGGATCCTGAAATTTATAGTCGGTACTTACCTTAGTGGCCCTAAAGAAATTTGAACTGGTGATCATTGGGGAGCAAATTCAAGGTCTTCCCATTGAATTATCCCTCAGAATTTGTTATGTTACCCCTTAGAATTTGCTGTGTGAATATAATAACCCTTAATTGTTTCCATCCATGAGCGATCTCAAGTCTTAAAGTGTTAAATGAGTTGAGGGTTGGTAATCTATATCCATTCTCCAACGAAGGCTTGGGATCACACCCCCTTTTTTCTCTTTTGAAAAATGTAAGTTCAATCTATAATAAGTGAGTGGAGAAAATTAGCACAAAACATCTTTTGTACTTATTATGCAAATCATCTCTATCGTTTCATATTTAACAATTGCATCCTGGTTTGAACATTTTCCTGCGAAGTTGATTCTTTCTGCCTCCTTTTGTCAATTTCTTCCATCAAATATGGGTAATCGGGGCAAACGTCCCGATCGTTTGTCTTTATTGCGCAAAACATCCCTATCGTTTGCCTTTATTACGCAAAATGTCATTGTCACGTCTATTTTCTCCATTAAAGCATTGTAAAATTACTAATTTACCTTTTTTTGAATAAATAAACAGAAAATATATAAATAATTGCATCTAGAGTTTTCAAATTTTGAAAAAAATACAAATGTGTATCAAGCAGATCAATTTAAAACATACTAAAAAAAGAAGAATATTTCATCTTGCCAATTAACTCTACCTACCCTGCTCTCATCCTCTACCCTCATCACCACTAAAATAATTAAAAAGAGAACTAAAGTATTAAAAAAAAGTAAGAAAAGAATTAAAAATAGAAAAAAAAAATACACACACACATACAATAATTTTTCTTCCTTATCCAATTTCGCACATCGCCACAAACCA